CTGGCCCTGCTTCTGCTGGTGCACAGGTGAGCTGGATTTATTCCACTTCAGATTGTATTTATTCTGCCTCATAAGGATTTATTCCACTCAGATTATATTTATTCCACTTCATATTATATTTATTCCACTTCATATTATATTTATTCTGCCTCAGATTATAATTATTGGTGTTGGATTTGATTTATTCCACTTCAGATTTTAATTATTCCACCATTGATTGTATTTATTCCACTCAGATTATATTTATTCCACTTTAGGTTGTATTTATTCCACTCAAATTGTATTTATTCCACCTCATATTGATTTATTCCACCTCATATTGATTTATTCCACTTCAGATTGTAATTATTCTGCCTCAGATTATATTTATTCCACTTCAGATTGTATTTATTCCACTTTAGATTGTATTTATTCCACTCAGATTGTTTTTATTCCACCTCAGATTATATTCATTCTACTCAAATAGTATTTAGTCGGCCTCAATTTGAATTATTCCACCTCATTTTGATTTATTCCACTTCAGATTGTATTTATTCCGCGTCATATTATATTTATTCCACTTTAGACTGTATTTATTCCACTTTAGATTGTATTTATTCCACTCAGATTGTATTTATTCCACTTCAGATTGTATTTATTCCACTTCAGATTATATTCATTCTACTCAATTTGATTTATTCCACTTCAGATTGTACTTATTCCACCTCAGATTATATCTATTCCACTTTAGATTGTATTTATTCCGCTCAAATTGTATTTATTCCACCTCAGATTATATTTATTCCACTTCAGATTATATTTTTTCCACCTCAAATTGTATTTATTCCACTTCAGATTGTATTTATTCCACCTCAGATTATATTTATTCCACTTAAGATTATATTTTTTCTTCCTCAGATTATAATTATTCCACTTCCGATTGTATTTATTCCACTTTAGATTGTATATATTCCACCTCATATTGGTTTATTCCACTTCAGATTGTATTTATTCCACTCACGATTATATTTATTCCACTTTAGATTGTATATATTCCACCTCATATTG